ACATAAAGTTTACATCGTAATTGATCCACATGTTAATTTTAAATTCAATTAAATGCATCAAAAGAAAATGAAATGTGGATGAACATTGGAAGCAAGATTACAGGATTTGGGTTGCAAAATTTCACATTGGTGATCAAGTTTAAACTTGAGAATTTGGAGAATGAAAATCTGATGCCAAGACAAAATTGTAGAGTTATAAAATATTTTTTCTAGCTTACAAAAAGGCAAAATAAAGATGAGCTTATAAGATATTTTCAAGCATTGCAAGCATAAGGTGATCAATACAAGATGGGCCTCCTTGTTATATTGGTGTATGTATTGTTAGTAGCAGGGGAGAATACGTATCCTAACTTGTGGTTGTTTTATTTGGTTGATGGAATTGATAGATTTAGGCCCCGTTTGATTCTTATTTTTCTCAAAATACATTTTCTCTCTTTTCTTTTCAACCACACATTTTTCATTAAAATAATATTACACATAAATCAAAAAAATTTCAATCACACATTCTCAATCAATCTACTATTCTAAAAATCATTTTTCTATAAAAATGACTATCAAACACCCTCTTAACATATAGTCGTGGGGAAAAAGTCGTATGAGTACACAATTGGGTGTTCAAATGCAGTTTGGAAGAAACATTGAGCAATAATGGAAAATGATAACAAACTCGTAGAGCCACTTTGGTAGGAATCAATACCTTTTAACTATAATACAGATCCTATAGTGGATAATGTAGTGTTTGAGGATGATGGTAGAGAAAAATCTAAGAGTGATGAAGTAACATCCATTTCTAATCATCTGCAATGCCCTAAGACATCGACTCGACCATTTGTGTCCAACCAGCAACATTATCCTAAAACAACTAAGCGACCTCACCCTCTCGTGATGACTATATCGCTTGGTAGTAAAACAAGAAAAAAGAGGAGTCAAGGAAAGACTGCAAGGCAAGATATATTAGTATAGAAGTAACCATTATTACTACAGAAGTAATGCAATATATTAACCATGCTTGATTGTATCGCATGTATGCTCCTTACTGTGTACCCAGTTTTCTTTGGTTTGCACTTAAGATTGATTTGATGGAACGAACTATTTATATTTATGATATTTTGTGAAAATACATTCGAGTTGCTCAACTGGCCGAATGTATGAAATATATTCAACTGGTTATTCCTTGGTCGATAAAGGTAGAAATGCGTGACAAAAATTTTAGCGCCATTGATATTTTGCTATCTAAGGGTCGTAGTTCCTAAAAGAGCAAATGGCTAAGCTTAATTCAATCTATAATTTTCTCATCATGTTCCACTGTTCCTTTTATATCATTTTCATTTGGAACTTTTTTTCACAATTATGTTGTAGATCTGATTGTGGGCTATTCACAATGAAGTACATATAATTTTTGCAAACTCGGTTCAATGTAGCTTTGATTCAATAGGAATTTAGGCTCAATTTGAGGAAGAAGATAGCTACGGAGATATTCACATGACATTTTGATTCGTAGACTTAATTAATTTTTTGAAGCTATTTTGTTTCTTTACTTTCTAGGAGAAGAAGTTTTTCAATTGTACATGTATGCCTTTAAGTTTTTCAATTGTACATGTATGCTTTTAAGTTAAATGTTGATGTGCATTTTTTGTTTCAAAATATAGGTGAAGGTACAAAAATGACACTTGCACGTTATATCTTAAGAAAAAGAGACAATTTCGTTACTGGACTTATAAACATCCATATGAACGACACAATGTTGTTACAAAACTTGTAATCATCCACGATAATGAGACACAATTGTCGATGGTGGATTTATATGCATCTATGAAAACGACACAAGTGTTATTAGGTTCCAAGAGGATGGCACACGTTGAACCTGTTTGAGTTACATACAATAGGGAGTCAATA